CAACTCACTAAGGAAGATTATAAACTACGGTGAGTCCAGTTTAATTAAATTTAATGGATAAATATGTGATGCGCGTGCATAAAGAAAGTTGGATATGCCTAGGATCCAACTTCAGATCAAGAAGTATGTTAGGAGATAACACACAGCTTCAGCATGGAAATGAGACTCATTTCTTCAAAAGGAGTAGAGAGAAAAATCTTGTTTAGGAAAAACCTACGTTGCGTATGATGGGAGACATGGTAGAATTTGCTAGTTGTTTAATTTTTTATTTACATTATCAATATTAAATTTTCTCCGGACTGTCAATCATTATTCATAGTTAGACAAAAAAAAAAAAAAGGTAATTAGACTATATAAAAAAGATGGAAGCAGTGGACTTCCCATTCCCACGTAATAATCTTGGTTTCCTTAAATAATTAACCCAATCCTAATCAACAGGAGTACTGTGCAACAGGTTGGTCCGTACCAGACCGCATTGATGCAAACCGACTCTTGGATTTTTAAATACTGAATATAATGTAGTCCGATCTTTAGTCTTATGAATTTATAAATACCGAAGAAAAATAATTGAATTAACTTTTGGACCAGACCAAACCAAGCCAAATCATATGGATGCACTGTTGATCTGGTCCTTAATTGTAAGATGTATTTCACTATTGAATCACATTTCTCGTGCGTTTGATTAGGACCGGACTATAACACACCCTTACAAAATTAGCAAGTTCATTTATTCACTAAAGTAGGTGAGTGCTAGCTGCAATGGTAAGTACAGTCGTACCAGGTGTCATGCATGTTGCCCTCTACCCATCTTTTATGAATAATATAATTATATTAGTTTGCTTCCATTAGCTGTTAGGTTGCCAAAATAAATGAAAGTGGTATTAGTAAAATTAACCCACAAGTTAATTGAATTTTCTCACTAGCTAACTATGGAGTGGTTTGTGATCTTCAATCAAGCTTACTCACGAGCTATACTATCAAGTTAGCTCATGAGCTAAAAATATCGAGCCCGCTCGTGAGCTTCAATCGAATTGGCTCACGAGCCTGGTGAGCTTCAATCGAATTGGCTCACGAGCCTGGTGAGCTGAACAAGGTCTGGCTCTGGCTCAGGCTCAACTCATTAGTAAACGAACGAGCCAGCTCATTAAGTAACGAGCCGAGCACCGAACAATTTTTTTCGAGTCGAACACCGAGCAGCTCGTGAATAGATTGGCTCATTTGCGGCCCTACTTTCGTACGCATTGCTCCCCCGAAAATGTGTGCACACTAGTTATGATTCTTCTACATTTTTGCACTTCTTTGGGTTGTTGGCTGGAGGTTTTGTGGTGGACTCGTTTCTTTTTGGTGGTCTTGTTTTGTTTTTCTGTTTATGTGGGCTCGTTCTTTTAGTAAGGATGGTTGGGATGTGTTTTTTTTTTTGGGCCGTTTTGAGCTTCGATCTTTTCTGTTTTTCTTTGGGGCTTTTGGCGGGTTTGACTGTGGGTTATTCGTTTTTGCTAGGGTTTTTTTAATCTTGGTGGACCGGTTGGGTTGGGGTTTTGCAGGGGTGTTTTTTGCTTTGGGTTCCTTTTTTTTCTTTATTTGTTTGGGCTCTCTTCCATTTTCTTTGGTTCCCCGTCCTCCTTGGACCTGGCCTGCTGTCCGATTTTTGGCTCTTGTCAGTTGAGCAGCTCGCTACATCCATGTCCACCGCCATGTAATCTCATATTCATTGTGATGAGCCCTCTTTGAATGGTTTCAAGGAGGCGGCTTACAGTGGCAGAGCCAGAAAATCGAATGAGGGGACTAAAAATTTATGCAAAGAGAATTCGAAATAGCAAGGGGAGGGCTAACGCCTTATCAACTACTATATTTTGCAAATTTATTACAATATTTACATGTACTTTTAAATGATTTTGAGAGTTTAGTGGGGTATAGCCTCCTCTGCCATTAACATAACTCTTCCACTAGCGGCTTATGATAATATTATGATCATGCCATGATTATGCTATGATTATGTTTGTGTCAAACGAGCTGACTTCGCGTTGTGCTTCTTCGACTCTAGCGGCTACATTAGGTGTTTGGATGATGCTTAGGCACCCTTCTGCTGAGGTGTGTTTCTGCTTTTTGTTTTGTTTATGTTTTATCTTCTCTAGCAAATAATGCCCTCTGTTTGTTTGGGTTTTTAGGGTTTCTATCACTCCTTGTATTCTTCACCCTTTGTAACAGCTTGTTTGATTTGCAATATAAGGTGCCTTTTCGACAAAAAATTTGTTGCTCTTTGCCAGGGGGAAAATGAATGTAAAAAGGTAGTTGAGATCCATGCATGCGCATGTCTTAACAACAGGGGTTATTGAGATCGGTGATTTATGACATGGTATCAAAGCTGGTTTGTCTTGAGATCATGTGTTCAAGTTTTCCCAACCCCTAATATGTCTAAAACCACACATTACAGGGGGGTTCATGCAAACTTCAAATCCACGAGTTGACTCTCCATTCATGTAGCATGTAAGGAAGTTAAAATCTATACGCGCATGAACCTCTTCAACAATTCTAATTATTGGACAAGTTGGTTTATAACATGACAAACTCCCATCTTCCTGTCGCCGCCGACTTGTATCCAGAAATGCGGTCGTCATCGTCGTTGGCCCATTTGGGAATACTAAACATGTCATTGCAACATCCCATGATGTCTAGATGGAACATTATGGAAGAACAAATAGGTTTGTAATGTAAATCCCCCATGGTATTGGCGGCAGTAGAGATGGAAGGAGGGTGTGACGTGCTCCCTTTTTTCCATTCCCAAATGAGCCAACAACATTGTGACATACATTATTCTATGGAATTCGACAATCTCAGAGACCAAGCACCTTCTTCTATTTCCAAGTGTCCTCTGGCCAAAACGAAATAAGTGGACATTCTTCTACTAACACAGCAAAATCACAAACTATGCATCTCAATTTTTGAATGTCTTTTCTCTAAAACTATATTAAGACCCGGCCCGTTGGTCGGATAAATTTATCGATAATATAAAAATTTATAGAAATTATCCAAAGAAAATTTTGTTTTTTTATTTACCTACATAAAGAGTCTAAATATTTGATTGTTGGAAAAATAGAAAAGAGCATGTATCATAAATTTATTTTTATGAGATGCAAACCGATTCAACTAATGCAATTACCGAAAGTTAAAAAATATCATGCAAGGAAACCCATTCCTAGCGTGTTCAAAAGAAATAACATGTCGATTAGAAATGAATGTAAATTTTATTTTGGACTTCGCGATTGCTTTGTCATTAGAATTATCATCGCCACCAATAACAACACATTCTTCTCCATTCATGACACCTCTTTCCACTATTAGCATAATAATTTTCTTCTTGTCACCAATAAGTAATAAATACATAAGAGTAAAATTATAATAATTTTCTCTTCCTTCTTCTCCTAAATTTCATTGAAAGAAAAATTTAATGCTTAATTTTTTGCAAATATGAAATATAATTTTACTCGAGTAGGCCTGTACTTTATATATGACAGATAAAGGCCTATTAGAGTATCAAATGCTCGACCTTGTGATTGTTCAAGTCGATAAACGTAATGTGAAGGTTGACATGTATAACTTAAATGTTGCCTTTTTTGTTAACCAACGGAATATATATACTTAATATACTCCATATAAGTTTCACCTAGAGTTTAGAGTGACTATAGATTAGAAAATTCTTTTTAATTAACATAATAATTTTCCTCTTGTCACCAATAAGTAATAAATACATAAAAGTAAAATTATATAACTTAAAACTGAAAGAGGATATGCAAAAACAAAAAAGTAGCCCAACCTCGGTAGACTTCCCTTCCAGCCTCGGTGGAATAAATAAAAGAGATTATAGAAGTATAAAAGTGTAACGACGTTTACAGCCTTCCGTCAGATGCGCTCAGAGCTACAATTTATGCTTTGACCCACTCCTCATAGGGAATCTCCTTATATGAATGGGTAGACATTTATATTGAGAAAACAGATTGACGTGAAAATTAGGTTAGTGAAATTTCATGTATATCTCTTAAGATCTCATGATATGAATGCACTTGATGTACATTATGATTATATTTTCCACAATCTCATAGTTTTATTTACATTCTCTTCGCATTATTGTTTATTTTAGCGCTTGTTTGCTTGATGGATTTGGTGAAGGATTTTGTGATGGATTTGGGTTCATGATGGACTTTGTCCAAAATCTATTGTTTGCTTCAAGTATTTAGAGGTACCAAATCCGTGGGACCCATGGACTTCGAGGGTCCAAATCCGTAGGCCCCATGGACTTGATAATCCCTCTTTAGGTGAGAATTGATCATGGACTTTAAAGTCCATCATTTTTTACGAACCTACCCCTCATATTTTCTTCCTCTTCTTATATTATTGAGGGCAATAAAGGTAAAGTTCACTTCATACATACAAATTTAATTAACAAAATCCATAATGAAATCTATGAAACAAACAATGATCTTTTTTAAATCCATAATGAACCCAAAACCCTCATATATTCATGGTTTATCAAAATCCAAGTTATACCAAAACCTTCCTTCATTTTTCAAATCCACGAATGCAAACGAGCCCTTAATCTCCCCTCAAAAGCATGCAGGCTTGAGATTAGCGACCGAGTTGGTATAATTTTTTTATTGCAGATGTAGAAGATTATATTAAATAATAGCAAATGAAAAAAAGAAAAACAAGTAATGATTTTTAGTAATCCAACCAACGCCAACAAACAAACATAATCCATTTAGTTACAATTTCAAGGAGCAGAATTCATTAAACTTCCCTTTCTTTCTCTCCACCACTCCTTTTCCCGTCCCTCTTGAAAAACCTCCCTAACCAAATCTCCACCATTTTCTCGTCTCTCCCATAAACCCACACAATTCCTCTTTTTCTCCCACCCAAGAACAAAAGAAAGTAACAACAAAAATCCCCCTCCTGGTCCCCGCAAACCTCCAAAATACGACAAATTCCACCCCCCAATTGAAATTATGCCTAGCAAATTACGCAAGGCAATTGGGGCGGTGAAGGACCAAACAAGCATCAGCTTTGCCAAAATCTCCAGCACCAACGCTTCCAACCTCGAAGTCCTCATCCTTAAAGCCACTCGCCACGATGATGTCCCCATCGACGAGCGCTACGTCGCCGAGGTCCTCTCCCTGATCTCCTCCAGCAAAGCCTACGCCGTCGCCTGCGCCCATGTCATCTCCAAGCGGATCGGGCGCACCCGAAACTGGATTGTTGCCTTGAAATCCCTAATGCTCGTCCTCCGCATTTTCCAGGACGGTGATCCTTACTTCCCGAGGGAAGTCCTCCATGCCATGAAGCGCGGGGCCCGAATTCTGAATCTCTCCAGTTTTCGCGATGATTCAAATTCTAGCCCTTGGGATTTCACCGCATTTGTACGGACTTTCGCGTTGTACCTCGACGAGCGCCTCGATTGCTTCATAACCGGTAAATTACAACGCCGGTTCACGCGCCGACGCGATTGTGGAGGTGGAGCCACTGCTGGCCGGACGGGGAAATTTCGGCCCCCGAAGATGTATTTCAGCGACAACATGAAGCCGCCGATGCTCCTCGACCGAATTTCCTACTGGCAGAAATTGTTAGACCGCGCGATGGCCACCCGGCCCACGGGGGCAGCAAAATCGAACCGGTTGGTTTTGATATGCTTGTACGCCGTCGTTCAGGAGAGCTTCGATTTGTATAAGGACATATCTGATGGGCTGGCACTCCTTCTCGATAGCTTCTTCCACCTTCCGTACCAATCCTGCGCCACCGCGTTTCAGGCGTGCGTGAAAGCGGCGAAGCAATTCGAAGAGCTATGTTCTTACTACGATTTTTGCAAATCGATGGGTGTCGGGAGGACATCGGAGTACCCTAGCGTTCAGAAGATCTCTGAGGAGCTTATCGAGACGCTGCAGGAGTTTCTGAAAGACCAGGCTTCATTTCCTGCGGTAGCTGGTGGTGCCAGGTCTCCGCCGAGGCAGCCAGAGGGAGAGGAGGAGGCTGCAGTGGAGGGTATTTCGTCTCGTGGTCGTCAATTATCGTCGCTTCAGGAACTCATGGGACTAGCTGGGATGGAGGAGCGAGAGGAAGATGAAGAGCCTTCGATGTCGTTGGAGAATCAGGACATGACCAGTACTGGTGAAGATAATAATGAGTCCTCGAGCTCGTTATCGTTTGATCAAGGCACGACGACGAGCGCGAAAAGTAGTTATGTAATGGACCTGTTGTCATTGGACGATTGGGATCTAGAGGATTTGAAGTTGGAGAATGAGAAGGCCTTAGAGAATTCAAATTCGGGATGGGAGATTGTCCTGGCAGAGATCGCGACACAATCGAGTACCGAAATCCCTAGCGGTTTCTTCGATTTGAACGAAGTTGGAAATTCCAACTCGCCGTTTGGATTGGAATTGGGAACTCCAGCGATTGCTGAAAATCATGTCCTTGATCACAATTACAACCCGTTTCTACAAGATTTGGAGGTTAGTTTGCCTGAAATTGAAATAGAATCGAAGCCTCTGCCGTCACTGACGGCAGGGGACGAGAAGGCAATAGTTCTTATGGATGATTTGTTCTCGTCGGGAACGTTTCAGGCCACACCTCCAACGTTTAGCGTTCGTGAAAATCATCATTGTAAGAGTAACGAACTTATAGAGTGGAAAAATGAACCGGAATTGGAGACAGTGACAAGGATGACCGTGGATGAAAATGTGATGGCTTTGGCAGATGATTTCTTCTCGACTGCGGCTTCAACGTTTCAGGCGAGGCCGACATTTAGTGTTCAAAATACTAATAATAATCAGGAGAGTGGAATGTCAAGTGGATGGCCAATTGAAACGGAACAGACGACGCCTGCAGGGGATGAGAATAAGGCAATAGTTCTATTTGATGATTTGTTCACTGCGGCACCATCTTTTCAAGCAACACCGCCGACATTCAGTGTAGAGAATGGTGAGTGCAATGGCTGCGATGATTTGTTTGGGCCGTGGCCAATTGTGGCGAAAGGTGGTGATGCGATGGAGCGGGAGAATTTGTTGAGGGAACAACAGATGTGGTTGGCGAATCAAAACAAGATTATAACGAAGAATTTGTGTCAATGATAATAATAATTGAAAGGAGGAAAAGGCGGGAGGCGGGGTGATTGGTGATAATCTTCTTTGCATTGTAGTTACTCTTTTCACTTGTGTAAAAAAATTGGTATTTTGGAGGGATTGTAAATTTGTGTAACTCATCAAGGCATTAAATTTTTAGTGAAATATTTAGAATATGTGCACACATAGGATTTACCGTTTATGCATATGATATTTTTCGTATAATTATGCAAAAGCGACGATGATTTGATCCACTTATTTAGACCTACTTAGGGGTGATAGCGGTGCGGTTTCGGTTTCAACCGAACCGCACCATCGGTTAGCCGAGACCGAGAATCACCCAGCACTGCCAACCGAAGCCGACACCAAAGGGGTTCTCGGTTAACCGCCAACCACCACCGTCGGTTTCGACTTTTGGTTGCGGTTTGCCGAGACCGACCCACACCAATTTTGAAGCAGCGGCAGCAGGGGAAGAAGAGAGGCATCGGAGGCGGAAAATCCCAAGTTGGGTCTCCCGCAAATTGAGGTAGAAGGATGGAGAAAGCGTCGAGAGGAGGGGAGACTGGAGAGGGAGGAAGGACAGTGGCACTGTGGCAGCGGCAGGGCGACGACGATTGGAGAAGGCAGGGTGGGTCGGGATCTCGCTGTTGACTGCCGAGGATGAGGAAGGCAAGGCGGCTACCATCGAGGGACATGCAATGGGAAGCGGAGACGGCAACGAGGTGGGTGGATCTGCTTACGCTGACTCCTTCCGCAACAGAAAGCCGACGACCTCTTTCGACAAGGAAGGAGTGGGCGAAGTCAGGCGGGGGCGATTGAGGCGGAGAAATCGACGATGAGTGGCGATTGAGGATGGTGGTGGCTGCCGAGGAACGTCGGTAGAGAGCGAAGATTGAGGATGGTGGTGGGCTGGTGGCTGCCGATTGGGAAAGGGTAGAGAGGGGCGAGCCGAGAGGAGAGGGAGAGATTGCGGATGGTGGTGGCTGGCGATTGGGATTCCCAATTTGGGAAAGGGTGGAGAGGGGCGAGCCGAGAGGAGAGGGAGAGGGAGATGGTGATTGAAGGGATTTGGAGAAGAGACGTCAAGATCGGGCTGAGCGATTGAAGATGGAACTGGGCAAGGAAGGAAGGAGAGAGAGCGACGAGTGAAGAAGGAGAGGTTTGGAGTCTAGGGAGAGGCAGAGTGGCGATGGTGAGAGCAGAGAGGGAGAGTCTCGAGAGGAACATCGGTTTTGGCGGTGCACCGAGATTATATCGGTGAGCAACCGTCGGTTGCCGGTTAGCCTAAAACCCCAAATCATCCAACCGACCCCGACACCGATGCATTCTTCACGGTTTTCGGTTCACCGAGTAACCGCGGTTTTCGGTTCGATTTCCGGTTAACCGGTAAACTGACAACCGATTAACAGCCCTAGACCTACTAATCTAGTTCCTTGAGAGGGAAAAAAATCCAAACATATTTGTTCTTTTCTGTTGGAACTTGGCGATATGGAGTTCAAAGTAAAGTACCAATTTTATTTAGACTGAATCGATTTTAGTTCATGTTTGGCCCAATTTTTCTTAGAGCTTTTCTGATTAAATACATAATTCTGGTTAAACATCTTTTCAAATTTGAATTTTGAAAAAAATAATAGCACTTTTGATAGCATAAAAGCATAGCGTTATAGTCATTTGACATTTAGGGATCTTTTAGATGTGTTAGTTGTCAATATGTGTAATTTGTTTATAAATAAGTAAATAACTTATTTTTTGAGAATATGGTATTTCTGTGAAAATTGAGTTTTATCATGGTTGGGTTTATAATTCACGTGAGTTATTTCTCTTATGGTATTTAATAATGAAAAGGCTAAAATACCATATTGCCCTCAAGAATACCTCCATATGTACTCTCTCATCCTATCAATTCGATTCTCCCTCAATAGAAATATTCCGATCCTTACTCCAGTTATCACCTTCCACATGAGTTATAGTCATCCCCAGGTGCACAAAAAGGATGGGGAACTTGGAATGATACCATTGTCTCAACCACTCTCAAGCAAACATACTACTTTGGTTTGTCATTTTATAAATTCTTATTATGGCCTCTTTTATGTACCATGTAGGGTGGCTATACGGTCCAGTCCGGTTAAATTGGTCCAAATTGATCCGGTTCAAGTTCGGTCTTTTCGGGAATATAAGGACCAAAGATTGGATACAGTCCGGTCCCAATTCGGTCTTGATTTTAGATTGAGTTTGTGGGGATTTGAGTGGTCTGAGACCTCAAAGGGTGAGAAGTTGGTTAAGTTTTGGGTGTTGGGCTCTCTTATCCGGTCTTTATCCGATTTTCGATCCGGTCCCAAACGGGTTTTTATCTCAAATCTAATCTCGAAGATGAGATTGGATTGTTTGTTATCCGGTCCCAGTCCGAGTTATACGGTACGGTTTTGGGTAAAACCAAAAAGCGCGGGCCAAATAGCTAGCCCTAGTACCATGTACACTAGCTTGGCCGGATGAGTGTTTTGATTGTCAATTTGGACGGTCAACGCTACAGCTCACTACCATGTCAGCACCAAATAAATAAAAAATTATAATTTAAAATGATTTCGAATGTTTTTTTATCTAATAATAAAATAAACCAAAATATGAAATATGGAAAATAATTTGAAATTATATTTATTTATTTATTTATTTTGTGATGACATGAAAATGAGATGGAGCCTCGATCATTAGTGAAAGGTGTTGACCGTAATTTTTTTCATTTTTTGGTTTATTTTATTATTTGGTAAATGAAATATTGAAAATAATTTGAAATTTGATTATTTATTTATTTGGTGCACAACAAATGTCCCATCTTTATGTAGTTGTGCTTTTGTTATTATTTTTTTATTGGGTTAATAGCACTTTCTACCCCTCTACTATCACAAATTGACAAACATACCACTGTACTAATTTTTTGCACAAACATACTCTTCTACTATTAAAACGTAACAACATAATCTTGTGTCTAATTGGCCTTTAGATGACTGTTAAGTGGACTGGTAAATGACTAAATTACCCCTAATTTGATGTTAATTTAGTTTTGATTATTAAGTTCCAAAATAATTAAAAATAAAACAAAACCCTTAAAGAAACCCCTCCACCCATCGTGAAACCATCCGTCTCCCACAAGCCCGCCTCTCCTGAAATCCAGTCTCCCCTGAAGTCTCAATCCCCGGCGAAGGCTCTCGCTTTCTCTTCGCCTTCGCCGACCCTCGTTTTCTCCTCGCTGGTAGCTGGAGCAGGAAGGACAGCTCGCGATCCCAATTCATCTATCTTCTCCACGCGAACACACAGCTCGAGGGAGGCGCTCGATTCTTCCAGCTTAGGCGACTAAAGCAGCTTGCTTTCCCTCATCGAGAAGGAATCTCTCCCCATTCTGCAATCGCCTATGCTAATAAATCCTCAGTGAATTGGTATTGCGGAGGTATTGTTTGTTTAAACCAAACCAATTATACAACTTTTAACTTTTAGTGTGATGGATATACGACAAATAGATGTAATTAAATATTGGTTGTATGTTATGATTTTGGAATTTGGTAGGTAAAGGAAAAGCCCATCACTGTTAGCTGTTTGTGCGGCAGCAAATATGACTAATGAAGGAGAAAATGGTAGCGGGCTTGCTGAAATTCATTGTGCAACTATTAATTATGAAAGTTTAGCTTCTGAAAATGTGAGTCTTGCGGCTGCAATTAATGAAGCACGTGATGTCGATGATGAAGGTGACAAAGAGAAGGGTAACTCCTATAGCGAGTTCGAATTGAACCCAGATTGGGTTAGTGACGAGGATATTGCAGATAGAGAAGAGATAATATCAAAGGTTCAGAAGGCAAAAGAGAAGTTGTACATAGGAATTCCTGTTACTTACCACTATGATGATGAAGTTGATAGAGGACAGGACGAAGGTGATGATCACCTGGAGTTCAACTCAAGTGATGATGGGAGTTATTAAGGAACTGATGAGGATGTTGAAGTTGCTGATCATGCAGTTCGTAGAAAAAGTCTCTTTACTAAGTTCGATCCGACCTTGAAAAGACCATTCTTTGAACTTGGTATGATTTTCACAAGCATGAATGAAGCTAGGGAAGGAATAAAGAAGTACTCTTTGGTTGCCAGAAAAGGTGTGAAGGTGAAGCAAAGTGATCAAAAGAGGGTTAGAGGGGTTTATAGATACAAGGGTTGTCCATTCATGATGTTGGTTTCATGGTGTAAAAGGGCAGATACCTTTCGCATTAAGACACTGAAGTTGCATTGATGTGGGCTACATTTCAAGAACAAATATTGTAGCCCAGCTGTGATTGCAAAGAAGTATCATCGGAGGATTAGAGCACATCCACGATGGAGGCTTAAGGAAATGAGGGAGACAATTAAAGAAGAGTTGGGTTATGATGCGAATAGGATGACTTGTTCACGTGCTAAGAAAATCATTATGAATTTGACTCAAGGATGCTATATAAGGATGAGTATGCACTTCTATGGACTTATGCTGAAGAGCTTAGGAGAACTAACCGGGATACAATTGTCCGTATCATGGTTAATCGAGACAATCCTGAAGGGAAGCCAAAGTTCAAACGAATGTATATATGTTTCAGTGCCGTAAAGAAGGGTTTCTTAGCTGGGTGCAGGAAGATTATTGCATTAGTGACTGCTTTCTTAAGGGTTTATGCAAGGGAGAGTTAATTGCTGCTGTTGGGAGGGATGCAAATGACCAAATCTATCCTATTGCATGGGGTGTGGTTGAAGTTGAGTCGAGAATTTTATGGTGGTTTGTGAAAGAGTTGAGAGATGAATTAAGCATCAATGAAGGGGCTGGTTGGGCCTTCAGTTCGGACCAAATGAAGGTAATTACGACTGATTTATTATTGATTATTCAAATTGTGCATAAGTAGTAAATTTTTGAAGGCAAACTAGTGAGGAGTGCTGAAGAAAATGGGAGACCCAAGAAGAAGAGAGTCACGAGTGCTGAAGAAAATGAGGATCATCAAAGGAAGAAG